AACTTCTTCCCGGTGAAGTTAGTCCTATGGTCAGTGATGATGCAGTTAGGAACGCCGAACCGATAGATGATGTCGAGGTAGAATTTGACCGCCTCTTCCAAGCGGATGTTGGTGATAGGCTTAGCGTCTATCCACTTGGTGAACTTGTCGACCGCTACGAGCAGGTGAGTGAAGCCGTCCGGACCCTTTTTATGGGGTTCTACCATGTCGAGGCCCTAGACCGCGAATGGCCAGGTGATGGGGATGGTTTGGAGCTCTTGTGCTGGCAAATGGGTTTGTCGAGCGTAGAACGGACATCCTTCACACCTACAGACAACCTCCTCTGCATCTCGTAGTGCGGTGGGCCAGTAAAAACCTTAGCGAAAGGCCTTTCCAACCAGCGACCTCGGGGCCACGTGATGTCTGTAGATTCCAGCATGGACTTCGAGGAGGAGCTGCTTCCCTCGGTCGGTCAAGATGCACTTCATGAGTACTTCCGACGGACTTTGTTTGTCGAGTTCGTTTCTGATCTCAACGAAGGTCTTGGCGCATCAAGCGATTCATCGGGCTTCAGCCCTTTCGGGCGGGAGAACCTCCTCGAGGAGGTAGGCGAGTAGCGGCGCTCGCTGGTCGGTTTGATCGAGTGTCAATATGGCGACGTCAGCGGGTGACGTCGTCATAGAGGCACCGGGATCAGAGCCCCCGAGCGCCGGCTTGGCATCGGGGTCGGAGCCTCTGGGCGCCGGCTTGGCGTCGGGGTGTGTCTGGATAGAACCTTCTAGGATGCGGGCGGATGGTTCATGGAGATCGTTGATGAAGATCCCGCTTGGGGACGGATCCCACCTGGTGGCCAATTTTGCGAGAAAATCGGCGGCATCGTTGTCCTTTCGGGGGACATGATGCAGCTTGATCCCCTGGAATTTGTCCTCGAGCTTGCGCACCTCCTGGCAGTTATACATGTACTATAAATGTGATTCTAGACTTTTTAGAAAGCTTAGCAAATTCTAAACAACTTTGTTGTAAACACCTAAAGCTAATTATACTATTAAGAAGGCCCCACAGTAAGAACAAGGAAACCCTGTCTGGGTTTGGACAGAAACAGCCACAGAGATTTAAGCAAGTATAACTTAAGATCTACTTAGCCAAGAATCATGATATTTAACTTTTTGGAAATCTTAAGAAAAGTACTACAACTAATGTATTTTCATCAAGTCATTATTCATAACTTAACTGAGCCAATTAATTCAAACATGCAGAACTGTTCAGAGTAGGAGCAAGGCAATATAGGGCATTTGTTATTTTTATAACTCTTAAAATATAAATCCTAAACCCCTGAAATTTTTATCAGACTTCAACCATCACCTTAGTAGCACTCCACAAAAATTTGACATTTATTTGAGCAAAAGAACTACAGTTATGAAAAAGACAAGACACAACTAGTAGTACAAACCTAACTGCATAAATTGATTTTTACAGCAAAAACTTTAAACTAAATAATGCCATATTATAAATCTAGTGCATAGATAATTTCACAAGGATTCCAAAAAGTCCACATTTGTTATTTTACGATTTTTCTACTAATTATTACGATTTTCCAAAGTTCAGCACAAAAATATGCAAAAAGAAAAGATTAAACCGAAAAAAGAAAATACTTTTGTATTAGGAACCCTGGAAATCTTAGAAACCAACAAAGCTCATATATGTAAATACATGTGTCTGGCTTTTATGCAAAGTGAACACATGAAAGAGCTTCTATTTATGATTCACCCCGTCTTCTTCAACCTCACGACGCCGGACGCCGTGAAGGGGCAGCGTCGTCGGGTCCGCCAGCAAGGGGGCGTCGGGGTTGGACCTGGGGGCGCTGGGATCCGGCCGTGGCCAACCCTCGGCCGCGCCTGACCCTAGATCGGCCGGCTGCAGCCAGCAGCAGCCTGGCCGCAGCAGCAGGCGGCACCGGCGGCGACGAACTATGGTGGCGGCGAACTACGACGGAGGAGGGGCTGCCGGTTAGAGCTTGGGGACTAGAAAAACGAGGGGGTCATCCAGGCGAGGTTGGAGCAGCTGTAGGTCCTAGGAACCAGAGGACAGCATGGTTGCTACGGTGGATTTGCGGCAGCGGCAATGGCTTCTTGCTGTCGCCGTGTCTGGCTCAGCAAGGGAGAAAGAAAGAAAAATGCAGAGGAAGGGAGAGGGAGAATGGAGAGGGCAGGGGAAAACATGGCTCAAGTTCGGCTTTCATGCACCTGGGGCGAGGTGGCGACGGGCGCAGACACGGGAGGCCACGCGGCGCGAGCGTTCTGCACAGTCGGCCAGTTCAAAAATTATGAAGGAACAGCAATACTACCTCAAACATACCACTGAAGCCCCATTTTCCTCCCATCATATCTCCTAAACAGATCGATTATTTGATCAACCGATTGCATCGTTATGTAGAGCTACGTGTGTACTACGATATTTCTGAAGGGAGTCTCATCTAATTATCAACGGTTTCCAAACGATAATTCGCTAAAGATAGGTACACGAAAACTGAAATACGAAAATTCAGTCATCCAGACTTAGCCGATTTTCGAACCCTGAAAACAGCACTGGATTTGATATTGTGAGCGGCATTTGACTAAGCTAGGCACTAATTTAGCTCTTGAGCATTAAACATAGTTTGTTCTACTCCACTCAAACTTTAACTTTTGTTTAGGTTCCACTGCCATGCAAACACTCTAAGCCATAGTTCAAACCAAGTCAAAGTAGCATCACGGTAAAGCTTAAATTAGAGATTTAGACCAATTGCGGCATTTTCTTGACCTCTGCTCAACACGAACCCTTCATGACTTTTGTTGTAGAGTTCAATTAGAGTCATTTGGACAAGGTTCCAAGGTTTGGTTGATGATCTAGAATTCCATTCACTTTATAAAACAATTCAGGCAAGGACATAACTTGTCATTTCATGTGACTTCTTGATTCCAAACTTCATGAAACTTTTCCAGTGATCAATATAGATGGATGTTGATGCGAGACACATGAAACAAGTACATCCAACATTACTCAAGCATACTTTTTAGAAAGGGCAGCATGTAAGCAATGGTGCATGGTCCAAGTTTAAGTGGTGGCTCACTTTCATATGTTTGACCTAACATCTCCAACACCACTTAACATGCCATGGTTGAGTTTAAACCCATTGCTTAACTGGTGACAAACACCTGGGGTGTTACATGCATCCCGACACTAAACATGTTGAATGTGTTATATCATAGGATTATATGTGTATAGTATTATTTATATACCATAGTATGCATAAAATTAAATTAATAATATTGTATGACGTAATGTTTCAGTAAAAATATATAAACTTATTTAAAATAATAACTTATAATTTTTTTTATCATGGAGTACTAATATAAAGTGTTGTTTTTTAAGTGAATATTTTTCCATGTTTCATAAGTTGTTAAAATAAATATTTATCCTAATGTATACATGTTTATTTGATATACACGGTGAAATATAGCGTTATAATTATTTTATTTCACGATTATAAAAGTCTGTAAGTAAGATATATGCATCGTACTTTATGGATATTGATTTTTTTTGGTAATAATATATATATTACTATTTACGTGTAGATGTGTGTAATTTAGATACAAAGCTAGAGGATTAGATTATCTTTGATGATGATAAAGTTGGGTAATTTAGATGCAATGTTAGGGGGTTATTTTAAATTATGTTTCATAATGGACAAGGTCGTAATGTAGATATAAATTTAGTGGGTTAATTTGAATTATCTTTTGTAATGGCAGATGTGGGTAATTTACATGGAAAATTAGGGGGTTACTTTATGTATTTTTCATAATAGCAGTGGTGGGTAATTTTTTAATGAGCTACAATAGATCCAATGGCTATTATCAATGAAGATGATTAGAGTCTACCAAATCAAAGGCCAAATGTGTTTCTGATTATTGTGAGAGTTTATAGGATTTATCTTTTTTATAGCGCGTCTGATGAGAATTAACGTGGTGCTTCTGTTGGGCCTCTAATTAGTAATAGTAAGGGCATGTTTGGCATGCTCCTCTCTAGCTCTGGCTCGGACTCTGGCTCTGGCTCTAGCTCTGCCAAACGTTTTCTTGTAGGAGCCATTTTTCAGTAACAATCGGAGGAGCCTCTCAGGAGGAGTCATGCCAAACACCCCTTAAGATTGTATTTATTATAGACACATATACCACTTTGTGTGCGCCATTTTAAGTGTAAGTTTTATTGGAGTGTCACCAGGACACCGTATGAAATTTACGAGAAGAGAGAAGGCTTGAGTTTGACCAGGGTGAAACATGATGTAGAAATTAAATTAAACTGGAAATAAAACTCCAGTGGAAGTAACTCGATTCAACTCCATGAATTACGACCTCAACGTACATCATAAAAACATTAAATGCTTTTGGACAACCAATAAAACCGTGAAGTAAAATTGTGCACCAACAAAGGAAATACTCCGATCCACTGGGAACTAAACCTCTAAAGACGATACGACACTCTTGACAATCGTCCATTATTGAGAACTGCCTAGGGCCCCATTCGGTTAGCCTCATTCCGGGTTGTTCTTGGCTGGAACCGTTCCTAGGTTATTTAAATTATCAAAGGAAACGTTGGCTGGGAATCGTTCCCAAGCAAACCGAACGAGACCTAATATATGGATAATTTAATACTCCAGTATAAGTACATATACCACCGGAAAAAAATATATATACTGCACGACTTTAGTTATTTACCAACCAGGTGCCATATAGGCAATTTAAGATAATTTTATGTAAGTGAGCCACCAGCATCTAATAAGGTAAGTGCCGGCCGACCGTCGACGTCGTTGGCTCGTTGCATGCAGGTTGGGGCCCATCTTCCGGACGAACATAGTCGGCGAGGACCTGATCGTGTCACTGGACCCGGAGCTGAACGCGCGCGTGCTGCAGGAGGAGGAGCGTGGCTTCCAGATCTGGTACCCCTCCTCTTTCGTGCGTGTCTTGGGCGCTAACAACATCGTCTCCATGCTCGGCCCGCTCCACCGCCACATTAGGAACCTCGTGCTCCGCCTCTTTGGGCCCGAGGCCCTCCGCCTGGTGCTGCTCCATGACGAGCAGCGGAGCGCGCGCGACGAGCTCAGCTCACGGCTCGACCGCCCGGACGTCGAGGTCAGGACGGCCACCTCCAGGGTAATACTTCTAGGACGGCGTGTGTCGTTTATGCTTTTGCATCATGCCACCATCGATCGATCTGTGCGCGCGTGCATATGATATTTGGCGTCACGGCAAAGAAGCTGATCAGCCACGACGACGTGGCATCAGGAGGAAGCCTGTGGAAATGCTTCGACGCCTGGACCAAGGGGCTGTTGTCATTCCCAATCTGCGTTCCTGGAACAGCCTTCTATAAATGCATGCAGGTACATGCATGATAAGCAACGTGACTTGACACCGTCTGATCGAGTTTAATTAAAAAAAACTCAACCTGCGGGAGTCAAACTTAGGACCAGAAGAGTGCTACTCATGTCACCTAGCCACTTCATCTATAATCTCCAACAATATTACATAATATATCCACAGGGACGCAAGAACGTCAAGAACGTCATGCTAGCAGCTCGATGAGCGCAGGAACGCAGCCGAGCGCAAGACCGTGGATTTCTTCGATCTTGTGATCGATGAGATGAAGAAGCCAAACCCTATAATGAACGAGAACATCGCGTTGGACTTATTGTTCTTGCTCCTGTTTGCAAGCCACGAGACGACGTCGATGGGACTGACCGCGATACTCAAGTTTCTAACGGACAATCCAAAAGCCTTGCAAGAATTGACCGTAAGTAAACGCTTTATCGCCACAACAACTCTTTTGTGTCAGCCAAAGATGTATTTCATGTGAAATGTTTTCAGGAGGAGCATGAAAAAATCATGGAAAGAAGGGTGGAGTCAGACTCGGATATCACCTGGGAGGAGTACAAGTCTATGAAATTCACATCTCATGTATGTGCTATATATAGAATTGTAAAAAACAAACAAAAACTCTCAAATGTATCTCTGGTCCATGGAAGAATCCAATCCAATAGTTATCTGGCACCTGATATACTTTCTACATCGCATATATATAGGTTATAGCAAACATCGCTCCGGTGGTGTTCAGACAATCAAACCAGGACGTACACATAAAGGGTATGTATATATGCATTTGATTTCCACCATGTGCAGTAAAAAATTTTCTACTAGGGTATGGTATTCCTATAGGAATAGATCAGTGTATATATCCTCACTTTGAACTTATGCACTCAGGGTACACTATCCCAGAAGGATCAAAGATCATGATCAGTCCATCTGCTGCGCACCTGAATTCAAAGGTTTACGATGAACCCTTGGCATTCAATCCATGGAGATGGAAGGTATGTGAAACTCATACTTAGAAACAAGTAATAATTGACCTAAATAGTTTTAAAATATCATGTCCTCAACTGTGTTCTCAGTGCAAAGTGTTGTTTTGATGACATATGTTTACATGGTACAGGATACTCCTGAGCCAGTTGGTGGCTCTAAGGATTTTTTGGCCTTTGGGGGTGGTTTGCGGTTATGTGTTGGTGCTGAGTTTGCCAAGTTGCAAATGGCTATGTTCCTCCACTGCTTGGTCACCAATTACAGGTAAAAGAATATGAATATATCTGGACCATACAGATGATGATGTACAAAAGCCTCAAACTGTATAACGATGCTAATAATACCATGTTTTTTTTTGAATATAGATGGAAAGCCCTCAGCAAAGGGACGATGATGCTTTATCCCAGGCTACGATTTCCGGACGGCTTTCACATCCAGCTTCATAAGAAAACATGAAATGTTGCTAGAAAAGATCACTTGCGTGTGGTATTAAAAGTATGCTCGTTAGTAGTTGTGATCAAATAATTAAATACCATTGAATATAAGTAAGTTTTGGGTCAGTATATAAATGAATGAATGTACTAATAAACCTTATTAAAAAAGCAAACTAGAATAAAACTCTTCAACACCATCAGCCTATTGTGAGCTGCTCAAAGCATGAGCTATAAGTTACAATGTCGAAGCGTCACTGCCAAATATGAAGGGGGAAAGTAGGAAAAAAAGTTTAAAAATTAGAAAATGGTGTAGTATGATTTTCCATATTTTCCAAGATGTATACCTATATACCGAATGTTGTAATGTAATGTGTGTAATTGTTTGAGCTTATATATAATAATGAAAAGTTTAGCTATGGTTTGGTGAATTGTAATTTTCCCTTTTCCAAATAATTTGAACCTCGAATTGAAGAGTAGAAGTTTGTCTCCATTAAAATCCTGGCTTTGAATCAAACCATTTGGTGAATCCTTCTTTTCAGTTGCGCGCCATCAAAATTTAATTTCATCTTTCTGGTAGCCCAATAAGGCTTATATTCTAGCTCTACTTGTAGATGACAGTCATAACCGAACTAATATGGTTGTCACAATAGGTGGTGTCTTGAGAGGGGTCCTATAATAAGCCCATATTGATCTGCTCAATTTCTTAAACCAATCTTTTCCTCCTTTTAACCATTGTCTTCTTCAGAATATTCTTCCGTTGTTGATTTGATGTCTCTGTTGTTCATGTTCCGTGGATGATAAGGAATGCTGCCTTCGTTCTCAATTCCCAACTTGGATAATTAAGAATATGGTTAAAATGTCTCCAATAAAATGAGAAACTCTATCAATAATCACTACTCTTAGAACACAATATCTTGGAAAGATAACTCCCCTCATCATTTCAATTGAATGTTCTATTGAAGCACATAGGCTTGGCATAGCTTCCACCCATTTTGAAACATAATCCACTACAATCAAGACATATTCATAGCCATGTCATTTTTAAAATGGTCCCTTTTTGGAAGTGGTCTGCGGCGGTGCTGACTTTGCAAGTTGCAAATGGTTATCTTCCTCCATTTGTTTAGTCATCAAGTACAGGTGCTGTATTTAGGGCATGTTTGTTTGGGCTTCTTGAGAGCTTTTAGACCTTTCAAAAAAAAAACGGAAGTCAAAAAAGCCTTAAGCTCCTCAAAGTGAGCTTTACATGGTTTGGTGAGCAAAATCGAGGAGCAACGACAGTGCTGGGTGCTGATGGCAAGCAGCCGCACGCCACGCACCCACGACGCTGCTCATGGCATTTCATCGAACAGATTGCTTTCGCAGCACAGCCGAAGTCGAATTTGGCCCAGGACATCCCAGTCACGGTCTGTGATGCAGGCGGTTTCAGCGCATTGCAGCCCGCGATAGAGTTTTAAATTTTGATCGAAGACCGTAACGGACTATTAAAAAACATTGATTTACTTGGTCTGAGAGAGGAAGAGAGAGCTGGGAAATCAAGGCACCTAGACCGATGTCATCGCTCAAGGTTTGGTGAGAGGTGGCCGCGCTCGAGGTGGTTGTCGCACCGAGGCCAACCCACCGAGTCTGGCCACACTTGGTCACTGGCACCGGGTAAACTACGCTCAGGTCTGCTCCGCCAAGTCTAACTGTTAGGTTCCGTTGTGTCAGGGTGCTTGAGGCCGCCGCGTCAGGGTGCCCGAGGCCGCCGAGCTCGACCACTTGCCTGGATCATGCCAGGGCCAGGCTGCCACGCTTGGCCACCCGTGTCGTGGTCGGTCACCCTCCATGGGAGAGAGGGGGAGGAGTAAAGAAAGAGAGGGAGGGAGAAGAGATAGAGGCTTGTGTGAGAGAGATAAAGGTTGGTGGGCCAATCAATCCATATCCTTGCACGGACACAAGTTACGGTGCGACACATGGGTGTGTGGGCCCCATTTGTCAGCCACTCTCAAGAAGCACACGCAAATTAAATAGAGAGAGGCACATGTTTTCACCAACAACTTGTTGTACAAACCATCGGTAAAAATAGATCTGATTTCCACCGACGCCTTGTATGATGAAACCGCTAGTGAAAATGGATCCATTTTTTATCGAAGGTCCGTATAACAAACCGTTAGTGAAAATCATCACCAACAATTTTAATAAAAACCGACGGTAAATATCGTTGGCAAAAACTATTTTTGTTGTATACTGCAGTGAACAAGGGAACACATGGGAACTCATACGTCTGCAGAACTGTGGAAAGTGAAAGTCCGGTGAAATTGTCCCGGAGAATGATTGACCTCCGATCCGGGCCGGCCCATGTCGGCAAGCATGACGACAGGACAGCAACACAGACGACTGAGGACCTCGCAGGTGCGCTGACGAGTGAGGGACTGCCCCAACGCAGGGAACAATTGCGTGAACCCGCCCTGTTTTTGCACGGTGAATCTGTGGCGGCAAAAAACACGCCCAGACCGTCGCCGGGAAACGAAACTTCCATGGCGCAGCACTCGATCTTGTCACTTCTGCAGCGGCATGCAGGAGCAGAGACGACCGGCTGTGCACTTGGGCTCCCTGCCTGCCACGGATCCAGATCGGCGAGATGCATGCATCATCGGATAGGAGCTGGCAGCAACCCATAAGCAGCTCCGATCCGACGACGTTCGGAGTAGGCAGGGAAGCACCAGCAGTCCAGCACCAACGGCCGAGAGGCATATCTATCTAATCGAGCACGTCGTCCACGGCCGCGCGACGACTGCCTGTACATGTTGAGAAACAGACACGGACCACGGAGCCACTACCAGGACTTGGTACGTCGTCTGTGATCTGACGACCCTGATAGGAATGTTACTAATTTCACTCGCTTTCTCGGGCCCTTATCTCTTCGCTCATCTAGTGCTTCTACTATTCATTCATCACGCAAAAGCGAGAGGCGACTCCGTTTCCACTGCGACAAAATGGAACGACCGGCCGCAATTCGTTGGCGCTGGCCCTGCCCCTGCCCCTGCCCCTCCGCCAACGTCTCGCCACTTTGGGCAGGCAGATTTTGTTTTGCCCTTGGCTGTTTGGTTTTTCTCACCAGCAGTGACACCACAGCTTGCACGGAGCCAAATTAGGTGTCACCTGCATATATTATGTTCATTTATTTACAACCTTATATACTAAATTTAGAGTTGGGTTTTTCCACGCCTTCGCCATATTTATATTCAACAAATATATATGTTTCTTATGCGTGGTTGCCCATGACATAATGTTTATTTTCTTGTTTAGGTTGGTCTTGGGAGTTGGAAAAAATTCTCTGTGGCACCGTCGCATAGCATGCATCTTGTGGTTGTCCATGACACCTTCACAATTTTCTTCTCTATGCTTTAGTTATTTTCTCTGGAAGTGCTGCCAAATTCTTAGAGAAACTTTTTATATCCTTTCTAATTTATAGGAATTATAGATTATATGGTAGAATAATGCACTTCCAGCCTTTTTAATTGGACGTTTAAATATATGCATCATATATTCTGGATTTCTCGCTAACCAAAAATAGAGAGCGATGTGGTTTTGTAGAATGCGTACAATATATAGAAAAAATGTTCGAGGGTATAAAGATATAGAAAGTAATTTTTATTCAAATGACTCTCCAAATCTCCAAATATGATTTAGATAATAATTTTTAGAAAAAAATGGAGATGCTATTATACTCATATTTTTTCTGAGGAACAATATAATGATGTTACATAAACGTGGCTTCTAGTTTCTTAAGTGAAGATGCTGTAATAATTATATAATGACACTGCGATGCACAACATACGTGATCGATACAGTAGCTCTACTAGTAGGAGTAGAATATATATATATATATATATATATAAGTACACTACGTGTACATCTGCTTTGACACCAATGATTAATCCCCAGAGTTTTTTAAACTCACTTTCAAAATCATTATTTGGATAGTTATTTGAATAAATTGCTCTCTATATATTTTTATCCTCCGACAACTTCTCTATATCTTATGCGTACTATAGAGAGCTAACTCCACTCTCCATCTTTATTAGCTAGCGAAAAATTTGAAATAGAGGATGCCAATATATCTAGAGATTCATTAAAGAAGCCGTTGGAGGTTTTTTTTTTCTTCTACAAAATCTCTATTTCTATCAATTAGGAAAGATATAAAGAGACTCTTGCAGTTTCTCTTAGGGCACCCGCGATGGTATAAGCCAGTTACTAGCTCTAAGCCAACCTCTCCAATAATGCTAGCTTTTAGCAATGACTCATAGTATGATTAGGCCCACATGACACTCACATGATCTTGGAACATTGATATGAGCCTAGCTCTTGATTAAGAGTTACAGTAGCTTTTCTCTCTCTTCTACTAAAATATAAAAAAAATACTTAGAGCTAGCTTATTATGAGTCAGCCATTGCAGGTGCCCTTAGTTGTTTGACATTGTTTTGCCGCCTCACTCTTCCCAAGCCTTTGGTAGGAGTGTGGGCATTGTTTGCAGTGCATATAAAGTTGGAACTAAACTGTTAAACATCTTTGTAGTCCGTTGCTATTTAATTTTGTAATGGAATTCAAGGGTTCCACTGTGGGAAAACCCATTGGTACACTTTACTTTAAAATGTTATATCCCTTCAGATAATTTAAATCTCCTTATAAAGTAGAAATTTTCATCAGATAAGTTAAGTCCCTTAAAAACTAGAAATTTTCAACGTCAAATCTGCATGTAGGGCCACCGTATATTATTCTACCTCTAGCCTTCTTCTTGCTTCTCTAATGCGTTTTTCTCCCCCCAACAAGTGTAACCTCTTGCACCTACTTCACCCTCCTCACCTCTCAAATGATTCTATTGTTGGATCCACAATGGCTCCCTAAGTCCCTATTAGAGTGCACGGTTAGAATTAGACCCAATCAGACCTACCAACCGAACAACACAAAAGAATAAACATCATTGAAGAAAATATGTGAGTGAAATGGCACCAAGGCATGATGTTTTTTAACAAGTTCAAC